GGCCCCAAACCCGTGGATCAAGACGATGGGAGGCTTGTTCGCCTGCCGGCTGTCTTCTCCTTCTGGCCAAGGTGTGCACATCGACACGTAAAAATGGACGGGGAGGGATGGTTGTGACGTGAGAGGGAGGAAGGATCGGGCCTCGCAGCCATTGTTACGGCCCGCAAGCAGGAAAGGAAGGCAATATGATTAACAATATGGCCACCTCTGTTCGGTCGTCCTGAACACCCCTTCTCCCCTTCCCCTATGCTACAATCCGTACCCAACGCCACGTAATGGATTTGATGCCCCTGCCAACTCCAGTAGCTGTAACCTTCCTTCCTCCACGGGAGCCGGGACCGTCCGCGGGCATCAACCGCCAATGCAGGAGTTGGAGAGGCTTGGAGGTTCGTGGCCGTGCTGCCATCAGATGAGAGGAATACGCGAGTGGAAGGCGCGGAAAGGGGACGATGGAGGCAGGGAAGGACGAAGGGGAGGGCGACCCGGGAAAGGAGGAGGACAAGGAGAAAGTGACGCAGAAGAGGAAGGACGCAGCGGCAGCGTGGCGCTGACATGCTGCCACCTATCGCAAAGGATAAAGGTTTGTCAGGAGAAAAAGGGACACCATTATCGTGAGTCGAGAGTGTTCTTGTCTGTGCGGCGCATTTATTTCCGTTGCGATGGCCTGTCAAAGACATGCCTCCTTGAGTACGCCGGGCGATTGCTCCCTTTCCTTGCTGACATGTCCCAACCAACAGGCGCACCACTGTCCCGTTATCACCGTGCCAAATGACAGAGCACGTAAGCACCCTGAATGGAGGTCATCCTGGCACTATTTCCAGGTGACGGAAATCGAGCACGTGACCCAACTTTCTTTGGGGGTATATTTTGTTCCTTCTCCTCCTTTTTTTTAATTGGTATCCGTTACAATGGCTGCCCTACCGAGCCTAGCCCCAGCCGTGCCTTTTTTACTTTCCTTTTTTATTTTTTCCACTGAAAAAGACAGCACACATTCTTGTCGTTCCCAGTCGGACTTTGTGATTACACTTCTCATCGGTCGCCTTCATGCTGTTGATTGCCAATGAGGCTCGGCTTCTTGTTCAAGCAGTGCTGCTGTGCATAGGGGCAGGACAATTTCAGATGTATTCATCATATCGTCTAGTTCCTTCATCACTCTCTTTGTTTTGTTTTTTTCATGAAAATTGAACCTAATTAACCCAAAAATTTGGTTTTTGAAATGCTATTGGTGTGTCCTACGATAAATACTATCGACATTCAAATACCCGTCCAGTGATAAGTCCTTGTTCCAAAAGTTTGTGTTCTGTTTGGCACGCCAAAAAAATAATATGTGTGCATTGCCCTCCGATACCCATAAAGTTACGCTCCAGCTCATTCAGTAAACGGTAAGAAACGCCTATATCCTGATAAGCGATGTCAGACACCAACAATAGCCTCGCCCTTGTCAACCCCTTGACTTCTACCGATGCCGCCCCGGAAGGCGATGTGATGGGAGGGGAACGCATGACCCCAGAGATTTTGCGGCAGCTTGCCCTCAACCATGACGGTACGTCAATATATCATCACCTAAGAGGGTATTTCGTCTCTGGGTTTGCGCCGGGTTCCAGTGCGTGCGCCTCGAACTTCCCTCCGTCGACCACGTCGTGTATGGCCTCCCTCTCTCTCCCTGCCTCCGCCAGCTTGTCACTCGTTCATTTTCCCCTGGTTTTCCTCAATTCCACCCCTTCTAGGCTATGAGTGCCCCAGCCTGAATGACACCCTCTACCTGCATTTTCGTGGCTTCCGGCGGATTGAAAACTTGGGCCCATACACAGGCTTGCGGGCCTTGTGGTTGGACTCGAACGGCTTGACAGAGATCGGGGAGGGCTTGGGCGGCTTGCGCCAATTAAGGTGTCTGTATCTCCAGAACAACCTGTTGGAGAGCCTGGGGAAAGGGGGGAAAGAGGGGGGATGCTTGCAGGGGTTGACCGAGCTGGTCACCTTGGACGTCAGTGGTAACCGCTTGCTCTCCTTGCGGGGAGTGGAGGCCTGCCCCAAGTTGCGGACCCTGGTGGCGGGGAAAAACCGCTTGGGCTCAGCAGGGATGTATGGATCGGCAGGAAGCAACGGGGAGGACGAAGGTGGGGAAGGGCAAGACGAGCAGCCAGGAGCTTCCCCGTCCTCCCCCGCTTCCTCTTCCCCGACCTCCCTTGGCAGCGAAAGCTCGCCCACTGCCCCATTGCCGCATTCCCTGCCTGTTTCCGAAGCCACCGAATTCGAAGCCTTGCGGCCCTTGGCTGGCCTTCCTTCCCTACACACGCTCGACCTCAGCCACAACCACCTCGTCCACGCCCTCCGGGCGGTCCTGCCCGCCCTCCTTCCCTCCCTCCTTCCCTCCCTCCTTTCCCTCACGCTGGAAGCCAACCCTTTCGTGTTCGAGCCGGCGTCTCCCCTGCCTGCGTCCATTGCGGATGGCATGTGTCGGCCGTTGCCGTTGTCGAGGCCCATTGCCACCACCCAGGACTTTCGGAAGCTCTGCCTCCTCGCTCTCCCTCGCTTGAAGTACCTGGACCGGCCCATATTCCCGTTGGAACGTGCCGTGGCGGAGGGGTGGAGGGAGGGCGGGAAGGAGGGAGGAGAGGAGGTAAAGCAGGCCTGGACCAGAAGGGAGGAGGAGGCCCATCGAGAGAATTTGCGCGTGTATCGGGCGTGGGCCCAGCGGGTGAAGAAGGAGAAATTAAAGGAGGGCAAGGGAGGGGGAGAAAAGGAAGGAAGACGGAAGGATGAGGACGAGGACGGGGGCGGGATGGGCGTAGGCGAAGGAGAGGGGGACGAGGAGGCCCGCCTTCGGACATTAGAAAGAGACATGGGGACTCCCCGGGACGACAGGGTAGAGAGGGAAGCAGACATGGACGTGCTAGCCGCAGGAAAAGGGGGAAGGAGGACAGGGGAGGAATCAGGGGGAGAGGGCCCTGACGACGGCGCGGAAGAACGAGGGAGGAACGGTCAAGGGAAGGAGGGGAGGAGGAGGGAGGGAAGGGACGTTGTCGAAGGGATTGAGGGTCCCCAGGAGGAGGAGGAGGGAGAGGCAGAGGCGACGCTCCAAGGGGAAGAGGAAGAGAAAGAGAAAGAGGAAGAGGATGGGAGGGCAGCACAGGAGGGGGGCGCAAATGCTCACGTCGAGGCAGCGAGAGAGCAGGCACTCCTACCCGGAGCGACGGCACTAGGAAAAAGAGCAGATCGCATCCTTTGCATGGCAGCGACCAAAGTCGTGGAGATAAAAGGAGGAGAAAAGGCGGGGATCTCCTCCCGTGTGGACCGCCAGGGCGAGGAGGCAAAGGAAGGGAAAGGGCGGCAAGGGGAATGGGAAGACGG